AAATGTTTCTTTATTGTCTGTTTGCATCTGGTTTTGTTGTTGAGAAGTATACTGTCAATACAATTCTTGTTCCTTAACTATATATTAATATCCTCTTTTTTTCTTAGTGAGCTTTTAGAATTTCCTCTTCATGTAAGTTGTTTTTAAATTGCATTGTAATGTGTCCAGGTGTTAATTTTTTCTTATCTCTATTGTTTGACTGTTCATGATTACTTTTTGTTGTTGTTGTTCATCAGTACTTTTAATCTTAGATTTTATAATTAAAAAATTTTTTTTCCAGTATTTGTCTTCATTATATCTTCAAGATAAGGATAAGACAAACATAACCACTATCACCATTGCAGTTTATCATAGGAGTAGCCAAATCTCTAAGGAAAGAAATAGAGATGTAAGGATTAGAAGGGAAAAGATAAAACTGCTATTATTTTCAGAAGAGATGATCAATTACCTAGAAAAACCATCATAATCAACAGACAAACTATTATAACTCATAAGAGAGTTCAGCAAGTTTGCCAGAAATAAGAAAAACTCACAAATATTAGAATTTTTCTACACCAACAACCAACTGGAAAATGTAATAAAAAGTGAGATGCTATTTACAATGTCAAAAGAAATTATAAAGTAATGAGAATTAACTTATCTAAGAATACACTGACTTCTGTGGAAAAAAATTTTAAACTCTAATAATATAGAACATAGACTATGATCTCAATAGTTGAAGAGCTATTCCATGCTTAGATGGGCCAAATTACGCTTATAATGATTTCAAGCCTCCTTAAATCAATCAATAAGTTAAATGAAATTGGATTTTAAAAATTCCAGTGGGATTTTTTTGAAGGACTTGATAAACAAACTTATTCTAAAATTTTAGGGTGTACTGTAGTAAATAATAATGAAACCCATAAATTGTTAGTACAAGAACAGACAATGAAATCAATGAAATAAAGCACAGTTCAAAGGCAGGCCCATATATATAACTTAAGTATTTTCATCCAAAAAAAGGACACCATGAATCAAGTTAAGAGATAAAAAATAAAAAAAAAAGAGAGATGACAGATTAGGAGAAGAAATTTGTATTGAGTAAAACTGGTAATATCTAATTTGTGCATGAAGAATATACAAAAACTCCTGTTAATCAACAAGAAAAACATAGCAATCCCAGTAGAGAAATTGGCAAAGGAATGAATGGACATTTTAGAGAAGAAGAAATCCAGAAGGTTAAGAAGCATATGAGGAGACTCTCAAATTCATTAGTATTAGTAATATAAAGCAAAATCACAATAAATGATCACTACATCTATTCGGTTGGCAAAAATTAGAAAGCTGGATGATGCCAAGTCTAGTGCTGAAATGGAACTAGGTAAAGCTTCATGAACTGCTACCGGGAGTCTGGAGAGCAATCTGTTTGTAATTAGTCAAATAGCTGCATATTTTTTGACCTAGGAATTCTATCTCTGGGCGTATAACCCTAAGGAAAGTTTCATATGCCCCTGTAAAAGGATGCATATCAGAATGTTTACTGATGCTTTGCTTTGTGGAAGGAGAGGTTGGAGACAATCTGGTTGAGTAAAATGCAGTGTTTGCATTCCATGAAATACTTTCAAGCCATTAGAAGTGACAGTTGGAATATATACATAACAATGTGGATGGATCTTATAGCATACATAGTGCTGAGATATGAAACACTGTGAACTCTCTAATACTACACCACTTACATGAATTAAAAATCCATGCATGCAAAGCAATACACATTTTGTAAGAACAGGTTACAAATGTCTACAAATAAAAGGATTGATATCAACCAGATGAAAATAGTTGCTTTGATTGGAACAGGGGGTGTCTGATGGAGGTGGGGGGAAATAGGAAAAAGTATAGACATGGAAGATGGGAAGGAAAGCAAATGAATGAATGAATGAATGAATGAATGAATGAATGAACAAAAGAATGAATGAATAAATAAATGAGAGAGGGCCCTTTTGTGGACCAATGATGATAAAGTGCCATTGATAAAGAGGATGATTAAAGCCCAAATAGAAAGAGAAAAATAAGGCCTAGTATAAATGATGGCACATAATGAGCATTTAGTAAATATTTGTTGAGAGAAGGAAGAAATGAAGTCTGTGGTGAATCCGTTTTGCAATGCTGAATTCTTTTTGCAATGTGGATCAGTGCTCTTTACTGAATTATTTTAGGAGTTTTGATTTGGTATATCAAATTTTTTAAAAAATGTGAGCACACCTGTATTTGGAGACATCTGGATGACATTAACAGGATTTTGTTTTTTCCTTCACTTCTTGAATTACTGCATAAACATGGACACGTTGTCCTCTTTTGAACTATGCCATGTAATTTGATTCTTGACTCTGAGTCACAGAAAAAGTCTCTTCAGAAAACATTTGCTATTTTGATCAAGTCTCGGTTCCCAAATATCTGCCCATATGTGGTCATCAATATCTAGGGTCTTAATGGAAGCACTGAGCTGGAATCGGTTCCCTGTGCTTCAAGGTTGTCAGGGGTGGCTAGCCATGATGGTGGGCTTGACTACTGACATGTTTTCTTTCTCTACCACTGTACAAGATTTAATTTGTCAGAGCATCTCTGGGTTTGTCCTCTTCCTCTCCTCTTTCAAGAGGATAAGGATTTATCCCAGGGGATATAAACATCTATTGATCTGCTCCAGGTTTTAATATTAGTGATCCTATATTACTACTAATAAACATGGCTGACATTCGGCTTTCACTGATTTCAGGTTAATGAATATCTATTAGTGTAATTCTTTAAAGCTCTGGATCTAGTCAGATGAACTTGCGTCTGACACCCAGCCTATGCCTGATAGCCCTATGACACTGGGAAAATTAAATTTTCTAAGTATTTCTTTGTTTCTCTAAACAATATGGATAGAAGTTTCCTCACAGAGTTGTGTTGACTAGATTATATAATGTACAATAGTTAAAGCTTAACATGGAGGTTGGTGCATAGTATTCATAACTAGTTAATATTATTATTACTTCATGGAAATCATTATGCTAGGCCTGTGAGGAGAAACAAAGATGAATTTCAAAAGTTTTTAATTTTATGGAACTTGGAGAGTATAAGACAGATACCTGAAATACAGAGCAATGTGAGAGAAGATCAGTGAGGTCACGTATTCTCCTGAAAACCCTGTGAGACATTCTGAGGACTGCTTCTTCATCTTATAAACAAAGAAACTGAGATTCAGAAGAGTTACCTGACTTGGTTAAGGGGGCACAGCTAGTGATTCGCAGAACCTTGATGGGACCCACATCTCCTATAACTGAGTCAGGCCTGATGGATGTGTCTCTGTTTCCAGTGGGAACTTCTTAGTGTCGCCTTGTGACATTGCTACCTACCAGGCCACTGACAGCATGGGGCCCTCTGTGTCCTAAAGTCCAGAGGGCTTGGGGTGAGGGCTCATAACTAGCCAGGAGACAGACTTCTCTGTGAGTGATTTGTTTATGTAGACAACATTTCTCCTTGAGACCTGCGCTCAAACCAACAACCAATTAAATACAGTAACTCTTTAAGTCCATTACTTCATTAAATGAACTTTTATTGAGGACAAGTATGCTTCATGTCCTATGGGAGGTACCGGGAGATGAAGATGAAACCTCTTTAAGGAACCTATGGAGTCATGCAACAATTTGCTGTCATATAATGAACAAAGTGACCCAGGAGGCAAGAAAAGAGGGACTAATGTTTTCTGGATTAGGAGGTTTGGTGGGTCAGAACAGTTTTTACCAAAAAAGGTACTATTTGAGCTGGATCTTGAAAAATGAAGAGATGATTTTCAGGTGAGGAACTGGGGAATAGAAACTCAGCAAGAGAGGACAGTAAGGTCAAAGGCAGGGAACCTCATGGGTGTGGAGAATGGAGCACTGGGGACCAGTGGCAGGGGCGGGGGTGTGGGGGTGTGGGTGATGGGGCTAGAAACGTAGACAAGCCTAGAATGTGAGGGACCTTATGTGCCTCCAGCTCTGTGGATGAAGGGAATGGGTGAAGCCTTTTTAAGCTGGAGAACGGCATGATTCAATTTATGTTGTATAAGTTGGCTCTGAGGCAGCTTGGAGGGCAGAGCAGCAAGGCCCCAGACTGGCCAAGGGGGCCCTCACCAGGTGGTCTTGACCACAAACCGATTGGGTCACCAGGACCTGAGCATGTCTTGGACTTTACCTACACAATGGCAGAAGGTGGCTTCTAAACTGGGAAGGCATCTGGCCTGACACCCCATGCACTCTTTGTTGGCGAACCCCACTACCTTCCTTTGAGAAGCTTCATGCTGACAGCTGTGAGGGTGCTGGGAGAGAGGTCCTGTTGATATTGTGCGTGCAAGTTCCCTTTGAGTAACCAGTTCCAGTTAAAGATCATGGGTGTCTTCTCCTTTCTTTCCCAAGTGAGTGGGCCTCTTTCTTCATGGGCATATGGGTGATCGGAACCAGTGTCCCCCATACTGAAGCATGATTAAGCCTTGCCATTTTGGTGGCAGCTGGGGGGCAAGGGGAGGGGTGTTTTAAAATGGAATAAACAGAAAAGCAATATTAAAAGAATGAGGAGGTTGTTTAGTGAAGCTTGAAGAGACTACAGGTGTTTCCTCCTGTGCTGAGTGAGAATGAGTGACCCCTGGGAATAGCATTTCCCGCTGAGCAGGGCCCATGGCAGACTGAGTTTTACTGACATCCTGATGGTGTAGAAGCTTGAACGGGGACCATAGAAAACCCAGAGTTTTCCATGGGGTCTTTTGGGCTCATTGTTGGTGTGGGGAGGTATAAGGCTTGACAAGCATGCTCACACTGTTCACACTCATACACACTTTCACGCTTACCAGGCATCACATCACACTCTGTGGCCACGTCTGAAGGACCATGGCCTTCTGTGCTGTGTTGTTGTTCAGATCCAGCTGACTGGCTCCGTGAGTGAAGCGGCCTGCAGCCAGGGGGCCTCTGAGGGTGTGCACAGTGGGGTGGCAGGCAGCCTGACTGAAGAAAGAGTGCATGGTGCTTGAGGTGGGAGGATGTGATGACGTTGTGCCCCTGCACAGCGGGAACTTGGGCCTTTAAAAAGCTGAGGAAACAGTCTGAGCAGGCAGTGGCTACACTGGAGGAAAGCACACCCAGATCTCACATTAAAGAAGCCAAACTGTCTGCTTCAAAGAGAAAAGGCAACATCCTGTCACAGGCCATGCTCTGGCAAAAACGTAAGTGGTTTGGCCGTGGCTGTCAGAGCCATGTAAGCATGGGTAGGGGCTGAGGGTTTACCAGTTAGCCCGTAATTGGAGAGGTGGTGGTGGTGATGGCGGCAACAGCAGTCTAGGTTCCCAGCCCGGGGAGCAGGGAGGAGTGAGGTGGGCGAGATAGAGCCTGGTGGAGAAATCAGCCTGTCAGAGGTGATGCTGATTTTCCAGGCTGGAGGGGAACGAACTACTGTTCCAAGGTGGGAACAGCTCATCGTACCTCCGCTGTTGTGCATGAATCACTGTGGTAAAGAAAGGGCAGCTTATGATTCACAAAACAAAAATCAAATGTGATATTGGTTTGGTGTTGGGTGGGGAAAGCTGTGGAGTTGTTACGTGACTTTACTTTATAAACAGCCCATGGTTCAAGTATGTGGGCCTGTCTCTCTCTGAGTTACTTAGCTTTCTGCCAAAGGTGTGATTTGTTTCTGTGAATTCATTGGGACAAGGTGAAAAATTGGTTTTGTCAAGCATGTCTTCACTCACTTCACTGTCTTCCCTCTTGTCATTCTTCTTCCCATTCTGTGGCAAGGCTTGTGTGTCCCCGTGCAAGGGGCAGTAGGTTGATCTTTGACCTTAATGTTTATCCCTGCAGTTGGCTGGAACAACTGTGAACTTTATTTTCCATTATGTGGGACTAAAGAGAGACTTGTGTTATTAATAATTGAAGTCATACAGAGATTATCTATAACATTGCTTTCTTGAAATAACAAAGTCCACGCAATGGCCTCATGAGAGTTGAACCTTATTGGGGCTTAGTTCTGTATTTCCTCAAGAAAGAAATACTACCAAAAAATTGCTCTGTTTTTTTAAAGGTGCGTAGGTCTTTAAAATGCCTTTGAACGAATTTAGGTACACCCTACCTCAAGCAAACTTAATATAAGAGACTCTAGATTTACAAAAAAAGATAAACTAGTGTGTTTCTTTTACAAAAAGATATTGTATTGGGGCCCTTAAAGTTCCAAAAATATACTTTCATTGATTTAAAACATAACCTACTGTCATTTTATCATTAATTCATTGTTTCTTTATTTCTTGTGTAAATTCTCTGGAATTGAGCTGGTTAATGTGTATAATGAAAGAATGATTTCAAAATTTCTTAGATTTTGAAGTCTCATCATTGTCTGATATTGGCAAGATGCAATTTTTTTTTAAGTAAAAAGAAGTGAATTCTAATTTGAGTTTGAGATTTATAGACTCCTTCCAAGATCATTGGAGATATTCTAGTACGGATGGTATGCGACTGCTACCTGAAGGAGGAGAGAGCAAAACCCTAACCTGCGCCTTGTGGCCGAGGGCAGGTGGGCATTAATGTCTTTACTGGGAGCTGCTGCATGTCCATATGCCCTTAGAACTGAATCAGTGGGTTTTACGTGAGTCCCTGGAGGGACTTCTGCCTTGGTTCCTACCTACTCAGAGCAAGTCAGTCTCCTTTTATTTATAATCTTTCGGTTTCTCAAATGTAAAATGGGGTAGAGATAATACCATTCTGCAGAGCTCCCCTTAGTAAGCTGAGACGCTACCAAAATGTTGATTGCTCTGGTTTTATTTCAGTGTCTGAGACGTGGTTTGCTTCCCGTGTTTATATTCTCTCCTCTTTGTTATATACACTACATTTTTTTCTTCTTTAATTCCCCCTAAAAGACTAGAAGTTTTTAAAAAGGGGATGCTGAAGGCATATTTCCTGTTCACACCCTGGAGATCAAATCAGGTGCAGCATAATTCCATCCCTAGTGTGGCCACATTGTAAGCTTGTCAGTGGAATCACTGGGGTGAACAGTTCTGTGTTCAGATGCACACAACCAAAATCCTCTTTAATTGTCCTTTGGCACCTTAGAGGAGCTTAGGAAAGGCCGTGGGCACTGGAGCCATCCCCTTGTCTAGGATCCAAGTCAGGCCCTTGTCTAGGGCACCAAGGGCACCTGGGTGACTAAACCCTGTGGGAAAACTGGTAAAAACAGGGCAGCATTGTCAGCCCACTTAGAATCACCTGCTGGAAGGGCAGGGTTTGAAATCAGACATCAAAAGTGCTGAAAAGGCACTTTCTTTTTTCAGAAAACACCCTCAAGGCATGAGCTGAAATGACTGTACTATAGGGTTCCAGAAAGGGTTAAGAAAACATTCACTTTGTAAATGTTGCCTTCTCCCTACCTGGCCCATGACCCTCCTTTGTGGACTAAATGTGAACATGGGCTTTGGTTCAGATCAGCTCAGACCCGCTGACACACATAAGTAGAAATCTTCAGGCCCCATCCATGCATTTGAGGTTTACTTGACCGATCAATTGGATAAAAAAGTCGCTCCACCTGCAGATTTTCCCCCTGGATTCTGCACTTGGTCCTGCAGGTCCCGCGTGGATGTGAGGAACTAACATCCGCTGTAACAAGAAGCCTTTGTTAAGGCTGACGACTAACAGTGCTGTACAAAGAGCAGGAGCCATGGAGTCAGCATGCCTGGGTTTGAATGTTGGCTATGCAACTTAATTATTTAAACTTACATTCTTAAAAATCTGGAAAATGGGAGATCTAATGCATGCCTTACAAGGTGTTTGTCAGAGCTAAAGTAGAGAATGTAGGGAAAGTGTCATGAGGTCTTCTGATACGTAATGATAGTCATGAGAGAGCACCTTCCTTCCCGTAGTGACACCTCCCATGGGCCCATCTCAATGATCAGGGTTACGCCAGGCATCCTGTCTATCCTTTTCCATACTTTGATTAGAATAGTTAAAAAGGCACAATCAAAATATTTTTAAGTGATATGATCTTATGAACAATTTTCCAAGGGGTCTGCACACTATGGTCGGAGTGCCAAGCCAGTCCCGGCACCTGTTTTTGTAAATATAATACAATTTTACAGAAGTACAGCCACATCTATTCATTTACGTATTGTCCAGGGCTGCTTTTGCTACAACAGAAGAGTCGAGTAGTTGCCACAGAGACCATAGGGCCTGCAAAGCCTAAATTATGTATTATCTGGCGTTTTACAGAAAACATTTGCTGACCTCGGATCTGCAATGATTTGGGTAATACCTTCGGTATTCATTTCCTTAGGTCACTCAGTATCCTGAACTTGCACAATGCCAGCACCAATGGAGATAAAGCTTGCAGTCAATTGATTAAATGATTTGCATGATGCCGAAATTAGATTCAGTTGACTTCTTTTTAAAAGGAATGGAACTGTGTAATAACCTAAACACCATTTGTTAGAAAATGAATGAACTGAAGAACTGATTTTTATTGTTGTTACTTGTACTAGGGGAAAATCTAGGGGATAATGAAAGGCAGGTCTGACTAATTTTCTTTGAATTGGCTGTCTGTCCGACGTCCCATAGACTTGGAGTTGGCCTTTCTTTGCTGTAGTGCCCAAGGAGGCACCTTAGGAACAGGAAATAGTTATTATCATATTATTATGACATGGATGTGCCTTTGCCTTCAGACAACTTAAACAGAGCAGAGGTTCACCAGACAGGTAAATTAGGGTCTCAAAATTCTCATTAACATAGAACTCTGGATTTATTCCAGGGTTCCGCCAAATGGCCAACTCTTTAGAGCAGTTAAAAATGCAGTTAAAGATAAGAAAAACTTGTAATAAAAATATAATTTTTGGAACTCTATCCCTTGCATAACGTCAGGAAAGCTTATAACAAGAAGTAATTTACGTCTTTGGACTGCCTCTAATATTTCTCTTCTGGGTTACCACCTTTGCTTGCTTAATACGCCTAGCAAGTGCCTTTGCTTCCGATTATGTTTATCTATTGATTCAGTGGCTCTTGTTGATAAAGACAAGTAGGCTCCAAAAGACAGATAGGAATTCACATTCACAGAAGGAGGTGAAGTAAGTGACACACATCCACTAAGCACACAGATTAACTGGTAAAAGAGCAGATGATTTTCAAAGTAGATGCTTCACTTCCTTCTCCCTATAGTTACTAAAGAAAAATGCAGTTTTGTCTCCCTCTACACTGAGAAAGCTCCTGAGTCAGAGATTTTGAAAGCTAAGCTCTCTTCCTTTCAACGCTGCAAATCTATTCTGTTGTTTGTGAGGAACAAAAACAGGAACCAAGATTGTCTACACTTATTAAATATTTGGACATTTAATTTGCTTAGAAGTCCTGTAAAATTTTACTTCAAACTTTTTCAAAATAAAGGTGTCGGGGTTTATTTTTTTCCTCTGACTTCTTTCTAAAGTAGTTTATTTTCCCACAAAATAAAGATGTCCATCAGTTTCTCCCTTTGAGTCCAAAATACCAAAGTTAGCTAATTGATTGTGATCATTAACATAATTTTTACCTTTATGAAATTCTTAGCAATATTCTAGTTTTCTCATTTTTGTAGAATAGCTGTAAGAGTGGGCCTGCCTGGGATGGAGAGGCCTTCTCTGAAACATTCTGGTCCTGGTTGTATGATGCTATGGACAACACATGGCTGTTGCAGAGGAGACATGGATTCTATTTTCCAATCCATGGGTAATTAGGCAAGTCACCTAATCACTTTGGGTCTCAAGTGTTCCAGCTGTAAAACGGGACTTGCCTTTTCCCGGCTCAGGGTAAGGAGACTGAACTTAACTGAAGTTTTCCAGCTTTAATTGTTGAGCTTTCATGAGTACTTATAAAACAGAAACACATGTTTTCAAACACGAATCCTTAGTTTAACAGAAGGGATTCTTGCAACTGCTTAGAGCAGTGCTTTTAAACCTTGGCTACCCATCGGAATGCTCTGAGAGATTTAAGAAATACTGAGGCCTAGGTCCCAACCCAGAGGTTCTCATGAAATTGTCCTGGGCATTAGATTTTCAAATGCTTCCCAGGTGACTCTAATGTGCAACCACTGTGAGGACCACTTACCTGGAGGCTGAAATTGATGGCTTCTAATATACTTTTGGACCTTATGCTACTGTGAGCAGAACATGCCCAGTCCTTTTCATAGGGATAAATATCAGCTCTGGGCCATCGAGTACTTACTTGG